ACTAAATGTATTCTTACCCTTAATACCGATTTACTCTACATATGATAAAACAAGGGTACTAGTTACTCTATCTATCAACCTACTCTAGGCTACAAAAATTACAAAGAGTACCTAATAATCTAATGATCCTACTATAAAAATTTCATGGCTAAAGCTATCATCAATTTGCCACAAAAATTCCTACAAATATTAGGCTAAATAATACTAAGCTTTCTAAATTGAATTTATGAACCTATCATTATCATAGCTAACTGTAAACTAACTACACCAATAGATAGATAGCATTTTTGTGAACCTAACAAATTATGTTTCACTATTTTAGGACATCTATAGAATTTACTATCATTTTTCAAAGTTCAGCTCAAAACTAAATTGAATAGCATTTGTTAATTCACCGGAAAAGAAGAAACTAAACTTCACCACAGGCCCACTTCATGCTCTCGACCCATTCCTGCAATCACCCAGCTAGCACCTGCTAAGCAAGTGTGACCCCAAGACGACCCAACCTTGACGCGCCACGACAATGACCCATGGAGGAAAGACCCTGCCAGCGCCAAGATTATGCGAAAGAGCCTCGGCTTCCAATCAAATGGAACCACGGTCCATTCCACTATTCCCTCTCACTGCTCTCACACTTAACCCCCCAGGGCTTACATCGAATTCGCGTTACAACGTCCCTGGCTGGAACTCACCCGAGGCCACGGCATCTCCGGCCAAACGTCGGCGAGCATGGTCCTCCTCGGCCTCAACCAACACCTCCCTAGCACTCTATGAGCGAAGCACCATTGATAGAGGTATCATACACTAACAATGGTGCAACAGATAGGTGGGCCATGCACCGCTGGCAGGTCTGGTGCACAACAACACCGGCACCGCGTGATGTACTTTAGCCCAACACCTCTACAAATACCTCAGATCCATCTCAGAGACTACGAGCAACAATGTAGAAGTCCTAATTGAATCACTACCACCCCAATCGCTACCGGCCACAACGCGACATCCACACCCGGTTCACCGGTGGCGGCCGAACTCGTCCGGCGACGACCTAGACCTCAAGCGGTTCAACCACCTACCCTAGGAGCAAGAGGGCCTCACCAGAGATGCGTGGGCAACAGACAAAGTCGTGGAGCTCGACAAGGTGGTTGGCCATGAGCGCTGGGTGACTACGGTTCATGGCAAGCGTGGCGACGACGTCCCCGGTGACTGGCTGCTCACCACCAAAAAGTCACGACGGGCGAGGCAAACCAATCAAGGAGACGCAAAAAGCCCCGCTCAATTGAGACAAATGAGCAAGGCGACATCCCGGCCGAAGCGCCACTTCTCGGCGTGACCATGGCGGATCATGCGAGAAGAATGCGCCGCATTACCTCATCAGAGAATGGAAGCTTGTCGAAAGCGACTCCAATTGTCGGCTAACTAACAGTGTCTAGTTAGGTGCACGGTGAATTGGAAAGAGGTGGACTACACATCATCAATTTGATGGACGACGACGCTCGGGCTTAATAGGGGGTCGACGGCGGGAAAACTCCAATTAAAGCCCCGACATCGCATTTACGGCAAGCAGCCGGCAATCTTGGCGCGAAGTCGACTCCCACTCAACCTCCGGGACGTGCGCGCAATTATGAAGCCAGGGCCAGCTCTACGATTCTATCGCTTTGGCGCGACACGACCGACGCGCGCGCCATTGCGATCGATGTGACGGTGGTCCGGCGTGGTGAAATTTTCAAATTGGAGAAGGACGGCAAGCATGACGGTGAAGGCTCCACGCGCGCCGATGGGTTCTGCACGGTGACGTGCGGCTCGCAGCTCCACGACCCGCAAAGGCGACGGTGGCACGCAGACAGCAGCACGCAGCAGGTAGACGCCGGTTTGGGGCGTGAGTATGGTGACGCAGGCGCGTCGGAGGCGTGATGGCGGCGGGGCTACGCGCGGCCGCAAGGGTCAACGGTAGCGATGGTCGGGTGCAATGCGCCGTGGACGCAGCTCCTTGCGACGGCGACGATGGCGATGGCGAAGCGGCGAGCTCGGCGGGCGTGTCGGTGAGCGTAGTGGCCAACTCGCCGGACCCCGTCGCGGCGTGCAGCGTGTGGGTTGTGTGCCGAGCGCCAGTAGCGGTGGATGTGGCGGCGGTCGGAGCCACGCGCGGCGTGCGTCGCTTGTCGTCGTGGCGCGCAACAACGCCGAAAGCATCGGCAGGTGACCGCGACCAAAATGTCGGGCAATCGTTAAAAATGTGACTTGCACGCTTTTTAAAGCTGCTAAAAACCCAACTCGAGGATCCAAAGAGCTAAACCAACTATTTTACGTTCGAGATGGTGTATCAAGCTACTAAAACCAACCTTAAGACCATGCCACCGCTTAACCCAATTCTCCTATAAAAATTGTCGAACTTAGCTCCATCGAACCATTTTCCGACTTAAGAAACGACTAAGTTATTTGTTCGGATTCGCATCACTTTCGATTTCTAAGCTACCAACTATGCTATCTAGTGAACCCCATTCCCACCACAAGTATTTCACCGCCTCCTACGAAGTTTGTACTACCAACTTTATCAAAGTTTCGTCTATGCGTTCTATAGCATTCCCGCTCAATAAAAATTCGCTTAGAACACTAAGTGATACAACGCGGCATGAAATGTAACATTCGCTTTGTGTTTCCGATGAACGCCTTCAAGTTCCATATATTGTTTTACACCCTATATTACACACATTTACACATAAGTATGATGCTCATGCAAAGTGTTTTAGTAAAATCGATAGTGTAACACCGAGGGTGTTACATGCAAGCGCCACGGATCTGCCGCCAGATACGGCAGGTCGAACATGCCCGGTGACTCATGGGAGTGGCGTGACGGGTACCTCTGCGGAGCTGCCTCGGACTATGGAGCACGACCTTGTCGAGGTCGTTCACGCCTTGCAGTTCGACAGCGCGCCTCCTCGCTTCTCCTCGCCTGGCCGGCGGTGACGATGTCGAGGCCGACATATTGTCCTTCCGCGGACCGAAACACAATGAGCACCGCACGCCGAGGCTAAGCGGAGCAAAGGAGCTGGAGGAGGAGAGGCGGAAGTGGAGAGAGGCAAAAAGCAAATGGGGCTGGCTTGAGGTTGATTTGGGGAATTTCCAGACAACGCCCCTATGCGTTTGTGTGTGTTGGTTTTTTGAGAGAGAGCGGATGAGTGAATGAGGATGAGCCGTATCTGGATGGAACGGATGCCCGTGGGCTAGCATTATTGTTATTGTTATCTCTTTCCCTGCGGTGCAACAAAATAAGGTCATTTTTAGTCATTCTATACACACAAAATACTGCTTCTTTTAATTTTAGCCCACGACATCATTAATTAAAAGATAAGGTAATGCCAGCACATCCTCCGTCCCCATTTAATTGTCGTTTTAGCCTTCTACCACATACATACAAGATTCTTTGAACTTGGACATATATGACAACTATAGGTACATAAAAGATGCTTTGAATTTAGACTACCAGAAACACGGCTACAACGCTACATACATGGGGACGGAGGGAGTGCTCGATCCCATACACCACCTCCAAGCACGTCGGGAGCCTCATTGATATATAAAGCGCTGCCCACGAAGCCTCATGGCACAAATGATGAGTGACAAGGAAATATACCTAGGCCAAGGATGATGGCTATGCTAAAGAGCACGAGTGCTTCTGCCATGGCGTCCCCTTCTCCTTATTCTCATTGCTGCTGTCAGACTCTCATGGGCGGCAGCCCAATGCGTGAAGATCTACGCGATCGTCAACCACAACCCCACCAACTCCCGGAATTTACCCTCCACTAAAGGGACATCTCCTCCAAGAGAAGATATAGTGCATGTCGATTTTTCGCAATGCAGCTTGAGTTGAGTGAGGACATGTGCACCCTACTCGGCTTAATTTGGGTCCAGCATGTCGATTTAGAGCCTTTTTTGGCAGGGCTCTTGAAATAGAGAGACTCTAGCTCTAGCTCTAGCAGGACCTACACCAACCGCACATTCTCAAAATAGTGTTTTGTTCATTGATTGGTTACGTAAACGTAGACGGTAAACACAGAGTGGATTTGTTTACAGAGGAAATGAGGATTTGTCGCCAAGTTGGTGTTTCCTTCGCTGCCCTGCTATATATAGTAGATCCAAGATTCACACTTACTGCCACGGGCTGAGCTTCGCCGCTAGATCTGGACCAGCTGTCCTTGCTCTCGAGATTGGCTCCCTTCACAGCCGAATGGTCGGTTCGCAGGGCCAGGAAGCCAATTGTAGTCACCAGGTGTGTGTGTGTGTGATTATAAGACAATGCTTGAGGTTGACTAGACTTTGCGATTCTGTAAATAAAACCCAAGAATGTGGTGCCTCCCGCTACCGTACATCCAACTTTGTGTTAACTATCATCATTTCAATCTCACCTTCCGAATCCATAGCTCAGCTACAGATGCTCTTGTTCATCTGGAGTAGGTTTCAACTTTGGCATCCATACCGCGGTTACCCATTATCAGAAATTACAGCTAATTTCGTAGGCAAGCAGCAGCTCAGAGTTGTTAAGTACAACAAAATATATTATAAGATATTGCCATTATATATAACCAGGCTATCTCTGCAGCAATCAATCAAATTGACACCAATTCACGGCTATCTCTAATTCATATTATCTGTTCTTTACATGTAAGGCCTATCCCGAATTGCAGAATAGTTTTATACAAAGAAAAAAAAAAGAATTTGCAGAATAGTTAAAAGGGTGTAAGAAGATGGTATGGGGCAACGACTACAGATCTCAGTTACAACAGCAAAAAAATCATATCAATCCTCTGACTCCAGATACGAGTACTTCATTAGGCAATCTAACTAATTACAGGGGAGTGTGTCAGGCGATGGCAGCTGTATGTTGGAGCAGGAAAAAACCCTGACCTATTCAGGATCAGGAATGGCTACTTGTGAGGACATGCCTGTTTGGCAAGTATAAAGCAACTGTACAGATGCTGCTGTTTCTCTATATTCAAGTTCAGCTACATGAAGTATGTGGACTGTTGTGTCGGTAGAGTCTTCTTCTTTCTCGACCCGCTGCCGCTTCCAAACTCATCATTCCACTCAGAAATTTGGGCCATGGTTTCTGAATCAGATGGAACGCTAGCACACACCTACAGTGAAAAGCTCAACTGATTATCATGTGCTTATAACATGTGCTAAGGGAAAAGGTAATCTTAACAGTAGAAGTGCCCATAGCATGCCAGAAATAGGTAGAAATTAACTATTCCTTCACCTGTCCAAGCGCAAATTTCAAGTCATCCATTCCAAGTGGGCGAATGTCCTTCTTTCCATACAACGGAGGCTCAGGTCTACCTTCAGCTATTGCCAGACTCTTCTCCTGTATCAAACAAATGATATTTTAGAGCTACCAAGAGACAGAGATGGTGTGAGATGCATCAAAACGGCTAAACCATAGATGGAGGTTCTGCGCACACCTTCTTTTCCTTCTCAATAATTTCACGAATGGGACGATGTGCCGCAGTTACACAGAGATTCTGCAGGGAAGGGATCATTATGATAAGTTTGCAATCCCTTCTCATTTCTGAAGAGTCTTAAGGCACAGCAACATACCTTCAAGTCACTTCCTGAATATCCATCAGCCATTTTGGCAATTGATTCAAGATCCACATCTGGTTCTAATGTTTCTTTGGATAGTATTACTTTCAAAATATTTTCTCTATTTGACTTGTCAGGAAGGCTCACCATTAATCTGCCAATAAGACTTGGTGCAAAAGAGTTAAGGAATGGATACAAAATCAGTCTAGTTCAGGGGATCATAAAAGCTTACCATGCGAGGAACCTTCAATAACAGCATCATCAAGGTCAAATGGCCTATTTGTGGCTCCAAGAACGATTACGCTGTTCTTGCTCTTTAGTATGCAAACCATCCCAATGTATCATAAATTCATTTTTTTTCATCTTATGCTGTTGCCTCATGCTCCCTTGGTCCTCCCTTATTCCTAGCAAACTGTCAACCTGTTATTAAAGGAAAAGACACAGTTGTGAGTGCAAAACACAGAATAAAACAATGGACAACCCATTTGCTTGCACACTCATCAACAAATATTACTGCAGGAGATAGTTTACTAGCTAGAGAAAAATGGCCTTGACGTATTTCTCTTGATCTCCAAACCCACTGAACAAAAAAATAAAATTGTCATCAGATTTAACGGAACATCTTCTGACCAAAAAATAGCACCCAGAACCGAGTTTCTGCACACCCCCTCCAATGCGCGAATACCAACTGTTTCTGTTGAATAGTACCTTTGAGGTAATGCTTGACATTGATACATTGATAAAGTTTGCACCTGCCTCAGTTGCTACTGCTTTTGCAAGCAATGTTTTACCTGTTCCAGGAGGTCCAAAGAGCAGTATTCCTTCACAGGCTGCCAGAAAGAAATGCATTGGTAGTACTTCCAAATATAACTGATAGTTAGTAGGCAAATATGTCGGGCCACTTTGTTCTTTTAAAATTAGGCGAGCACCTTTGTTAGCTGCCCTTTGCTGTACAATTCAGATCTTTGCAGAGGGAGCATTATCAATTCCTCCCTCAGTGTATCTTTCTAAATTGTCCAGGGCTCCAATGTTCATAAAGGTAACTCCAGTGTCATTAGGTGAGATAATATTTGATAGAAGATTTTTTCTCAAATTCATTCTCTGTGACCACATCCTGAAAAAAAAAACGACTTGCATGAATTTGAGTATCAGGGACTTGTAACCAGATATATATAGAGATGGATGGGTCACCATTAGTGCATTCTTTGATCTCTTAGCTCCACTCTGTGCAATCTGTAACATACTGAATCCATGCTTGAGCCTGTATCCACAATGCTACTTCTAGCATTCCACAGAAGGATCAATTGATGTTTATATTAGCATCGATTTTTACCTTCTTCATTGGAAGTACCCATTTGCCATCATTTGGGGGTTCACTGTCATGAAGGTGATAACTAATAGCATATCCAACAATCTTTTCAAATCTAGAAGTAAATCAAAACAATATATATTTTTTTTACAATAGTGTTATTATTGAAAATGAAAAGGATGAAAGAATTGGTCGATGAGAAGGTAGAAACACCTTACCTTCATTAGTTAGTAATTGATCTTTGATAGGTAATTCTTGAAGATCATTGCATTCAATTTCATTGCATTCAATTCCTCTGTTGATCAGAAACTACAATGACGTAAACATTGTAAGAGACATAACATTTGTTCGGGAGGTTCACTTCAGATCAGGGATGGAATGAACAGCTGAAGA